ATTGGTTCCATGTCGGTTTTGTTTTAGAGTGGTTAGAGCACAAATGTTTCCCAAAAACACATTTAAAAATTATGCTGAAAAATGCAACTTCATACAAGTAACATGGACTTCTTCAGACCTGCCAAAATGTAAGGCCTAAAATTTTGATTATTGGATCTTAGACTAGACTTCTTAAGATCCCGCAAAACACCCTGTATTAACAATAACATAAAAAATAATGCTGGACAGAGAAGTTGCTGTCGTTTTTTAAATAAATAAAACCAAAACTATCTGCATGGTTAGATACCAGAGGAGGGAAGTGAGAAAGTGTGTTGTTTTCTTGTAATCTGGGCGAACCGACCCTCGACATTTCGATACATGAATATATGTGAACATTATCCCAGGTTTCAGTATCCCATAGTGGTCTAAATGCTGTTTTAGAGATTGTGATTAAAAAAGAATAATAATTCTGGCTTGACATTTGAATTAATGCTGAATTAATGCTTAATGCTTATTCATGATAGAAATAGCAGAATTGTGAATCAGTTTTTAAATTGAAGAAAATAGAAAAAAAAGTCACTTTAAGAAAAAATATTTAAATATTACCACTTAAAATAACATAAAGTAATATGTGTTTCTTAGCAACATATGTTAGAACAAATGTATGCAGGTAAGTAAAATACATAATATATTATGAACCTGCTATATACCTGCTATATAAAAGTAAATCATTAAAAAATTTAAAAGTTACTAAATACTACATACACCAATATAAAACGTAACCATATTTTACATGAATTAGTTGTAGTGACTTAACTGTCGTTTAAGTATATGTAAAATATTATTTACCCCAAAACAACTATATTTAGTATGTTAAAAGCCCCAAAGATTTGTTTTCCTGTTAGAGGTGAAAACACAAAATCTGCTGTGGAAAGACATGCAGCTACACATGACACAATCAAAATGTTTGATTCCACATATTCATCATGCTATAATTGGCAGATAAATTTGATTTTCTTTTAAACAAAATCACAAAAATAAGTTGTTTTCATTTGACATGTTAAATATCAGATTTGCACTGGATCAAAGCACATAATTTTTTAAATTAAGTATCCAATAATAAGAATTCAATAGTAACAAGCATTTACTCGTTACAGTTTTTGAGATACAGCCATTTGTGTATCAGACCATATTTAGTCATTGGTAGGGGTTACTCATTTTATCCCATTGGAATATATTATCATTTTTCTTAATGAATCTATATTGTAACAATACAGAATATGTGTGAATCAAAAATGATGGAGATCGGAAATTCCTAAGCTTTTGTTCTAGAGGTGTTTTCCTGAAAAAAAAAAAAAAGCAACCCCTATACTATACTATACTATACTAAAAGTAAGTTTAGAAGAAAAAAGACTGTAGCCTCAGACTTTGACTGATTTGAAAACGTTCAATGAATTTTTTGCTTTGCTGAGCTAGTACTTTAAGTACTGGAAAGGAAATGATAAATTCCACTGTGTCACTGGGTAAAAACACCTGTAAATATCAAATTAAGGCCAAATCAAAGGCAAAAGATGTAAGCTTGCCATAAGGGGAGCGAATTGTAAAGTCTGCAGGAATCCACCTTGTGAAAAGACTGGAGCAGAAAGGAGAGGGGTTGGGAAGAAAGTAAAACAATCAGATGGAGACTTCAGTACATTTTTACTGAGTCGTACTCAGTCACACAGACATGAAGTCTGTGCATTTAGAGCAGACATATGTACAATCTGTTAGGGAACATGAAAACACTCAGCAGTCCAATC